GTGCTATATAACCTCCAAGAAACACTTCATAAGTTGGCCATGCAGTGGCGCTAGCCAAAATCCCACAGAAGATTACATTTTAGTCACATAACATCGGTTAATGGAAATACCGTCATTTCGCAATACTTTTTTATTGACGGTTATAAAATATCGCTAAAGTTTTGCACAAATCTGTTATGGAAGCGTAGCTAGAGCTATGTTTCCATCCACCTATTTTTATGCGCATTTTGATAAAAATTGTAAAAATTGCTGGATGGAATCTGCAGCAAATAAAATTTTTCTTAGCGCAAGTTAATCAGGTTTTGTTATCTTTGTTATCTTCAACTCACTGGATGGAAGCGGTGCTTTATTCGCAATTTATTCCAATTTTGCGCATAAATGTAATTGATAAATTTGGATGGAAACATAGCTAGTGCTCTCCAGTGTTGGGCTCGTTACTCAAAAAATAGAATTTATTACTCTTTACTACTTACTCCTTTCAAAAGTAATATTATTACTTATTACTTTCTGGCAAAAGTAATTAGTTACACTACTAGTTACATTACTTTTCCTTCACGCCCCACAGAAGTTGCGTATCTTACCCAAAAAAATCTTCTGGAATGTTACTTACAACATATTTCTGCCTCATCGCAGTCAGAAGTGATTACAAACACTCAGTGGTGACTTTTAAGTGTTGTATTAACCTCATTAATTGTCATGTGTAGCTTGAAGCTAATTGTAGCTATAATTTCTCTGTTACCCATATACGATTATATTTCAAGATTTATTTTATCAAAAGAAATAGCATATGGCCGAGAGAGCTCAACGTGCTGCAACTTAAGAAAACACATACGCCCCACAGAAGTTGCGTATCTTACCCAAAAAAATCTTCTGGAATGTTACTTACAACATATTTCTGCCTCATCGCAGTCAGAAGTGATTACAAACACTCAGTGGTGACTTTTAAGTGTTGTATTAACCTCATTAATTGTCATGTGTAGCTTGAAGCTAATTGTAGCTATAATTTCTCTGTTACCCATATACGATTATATTTCAAGATTTATTTTATCAAAAGAAATAGCATACATTTGTAAGAAATTGTTTCGTTTTCTAAAAAGATTTTTAAATATAGTGATACAATTTGTATCAGGATCAAAGGGATGAGGGTAAGCCATGTAACGCCACAACTTACACAGCAGTGTTCAGATCATCTTTTCTTCTTACAAAATCAACGTAACGGAAATATTTCCATCCGCTGAATGTAAGCTTTTCCAAGCTTTCCTGCTGCTCTGGTGACTTCATGTGTTCATGAGTCGTAAAAATTATGAAAATAAATCTAGGAATTAATTATATTGTTGGACTTGAAGTCAGTAGGCATTAAGGCATCAAAAGTAACTTAAGTAACAAGCTGTTTTATGGATGTAACTGTAATATTATTACTGAAATCTTAATAGTAATTAGTTACACTACTAGTTACTGCACAAAGGAATATTATTGCTGTAACTAGTTACAGCTGAAAGCTCTCTGTCTTTCAGGTGGATACGTGGCCAACAGTCTGGCCATCATGACGGATGCGCTGCACATGCTGACGGACCTCATCGGGATCGTGGTGTCGCTGCTGGCGCTCTGGCTCTCGGCCAAACCTCCCTCCTACAGATTCACCTTCGGCCTCCACCGGCTCGGTAAGCGTCTTGTCTCGTCTCGCTGCGTCTCTGTGATGTGTGTGACGTCTCACCGGTGTCTCTGTGTGTGTTCAGAGGTTCTGTCCGCAGGAATCAGCGTGCTGCTGATCTATATTCTGACCGGTGTGCTGCTGAACGAGGCTGTGCAGAGAACCGTCCATCAGGACTTCAACATCGACGGAGACGTGATGCTGATCACAGCCGCGGTGGGCGTCGCCGTCAACCTGCTGTGAGTCCCACACACACACACACAGATACACCAACACACACACACATACATGCACACACACTCACTCACTCACTCACTAACACAGTCACTCACACACACACACACACACACACAGATACACCCACACACACACACATACATGCACACACACTCACTCACTCACTCACTAACACAGTCACTCACACTCACACACACACACTCACACTCACACTCACACACACACACACTCACTCACTCACTCACACACACACACTCACTCACACACACACACTCACTCACACTCACTCACTCACTCACTCACTCACTCACTCACTCACTCACTCACTCACTCACTCACTCACACTCACTCACTCACTCACTAACACAGTCTCACACTCACACGCACACACACACACACACAAACGCTGCAGGATGAGAGTCACATAACTGAGAGAACCAGCACTAATGGAAGCTTGTTTCTGATACGGAATAAAGAAATACACAAAGTAACTGTGACTCTTTTCTCGCAATTCTGACTTTATATCTCACAATTCTGTTTTGTTTCTGCCACGAAATAAAAGACTAAAAAGGTAATTCTGACATATATCTTACAATTTTGACACAGTTCTGAGAAAAAAAGAAATGTGCAAAATATAATCTCAGAATTGTGAGAAATAAACTCGAAATTCTGAAAAAGGCAAAATTGCAAGATGTTAACTCAAAATTACAAGAAATCAGCTAGCAATTTAGAGAAAAAAATTGCAAGATATAAACTCTGACTTTCTCAAGATTCTGAGTTTACGTCTCGCTGATCGTTTTTTTGTTTCTGCCACAAAATAGGTAATTGTGACTTTTTATCTCACAATTCTGACTTTTTTCATCAGAATTGCAAAAAAAACAAGAGTTATGAGATATAAACTCAGAAAAAGCCTAAGTTTTGAGATAAAAGGTCGTGATTACCTTTTTAGTTTTTTATATCCCATGGCAGAAACAAGCTTCCATATTGACTCAATCAGTGTAATGAGCTTAGATTCCTCTTCATGGTTGGCTTTGTTCCTGCTTGTAAAAGAATCTAAAGAAGTCTGTAGACACAGAAATGACAAAATGAAAGCTGCTTTATTTTCTGATGCTATTCATTTTCCTTCGGTCACATAGTTTTACAACTGAAGGCGCTGGTTTCATTGTGTCTAATAAAACTCAAACTCAAAGTCCTGTTGTGTTGTGGTCAGTTTGACCCACAATTGCTTGAAAATTGGTTAAATTTATTTCTTTAGTGAATTTTTCTTATTTAGGGTCATGAATGTGCATGCAAAGTTTCGACACAGGTGTGTTTTGGAAAAGCATCTGTGAACAAATCTACATGTTTACTGTTTAGACATAACAGCATCTTTGCAAGTTACATCCAAACATAGCCTTACATAAATGATAGAACAAGATGACTAGATATGGACTAATGTATAGCACCATGAAAGTTACTTTTGATCAGGCTAGAACTGTGATAAATCACTGAAGAACCCAGCAGAACTGGTCTAGGATGGTTCTGAAGTGTCCTGATGGATAGATCACCTGCTCATCTGATGCTCTCGTATCTGTTTAATTCATGTGACTTTATGGTTGTGGCTCATAAAGCGCTTTAGTTTGAGTTGAAAGTCCGCAGGAGCTGCTCAACCTTCACTCCTCAGGATGAGTCGCTGCTGTGTTCCATGAGTGTGTGTGTGTGTGTGTGTGTAGGATGGGCTTCCTCCTCAATCAGTCCGGTCATCTTCATTCACACGGCCACACCCACTCTCACGGGTCACCGGGGCGGGGTCAGGGTCAGCGGGGTCACGGCAGTCTGGCGGTGCGAGCGGCCTTCATCCACGCTCTGGGTGATCTGGTTCAGAGCGTCGGTGTGCTCATCGCTGCATACATCGTCAGGTTTAAGGTACGACCTGCTGAGCTCATTCTGTCTGTGTCACATGTCTGAACTGAGTTTATGATGATAATAACACGGCGCTGTGTGTGTGTGTGTGTGTCAGCCGGAGTATAAGCTGGCCGATCCCATTTGTACATACCTGTTCTCCATACTGGTGCTGTTCAGCACAATCCAGATCATCAGAGACACCGGCATCATTCTGCTGGAGGGTGAGACACCTGATCGTCCGTCCGTCTGTCTGTCTGCCCGTCTGTCTGTCCGTCCGTCTGTCTGCCCGTATGTCTGTCTGGTCTGTCTGTCTGTCTGTCTTACCTGTCTGTCCGTCTGTCTCTGTCTGTCCGTCTGTCTGTCCGTCTGTCTCTCGGAGTGTAATGTCAGTCTGGAACAGTGACGGAGTGTTTGTGTTGCAGGTGTTCCGCGTCATGTGGACGTGTCTGGAATCAGAGCTGATCTGCTGAAGCTGCAGCATGTGGAGTGTGTGGAGGAGCTGAAGCTCTGGGCGCTGACGGCTGATAAAACCGCAGCCATCGTTCACCTGCAGCTCGGTGAGTCGCTGATCGCAAACAATAACAGCAGAATCATCACACTAAAAAATCTTCCTTACACAAGTACTCAAGCCGCTTTTAACTAGTTAAACTCATGCTAAACTGTTTAATGAATTCTTCTACTTTCTTCATATAAACAGTGTTGGGACTTACGTAATCAGATTACTTTTTCAAGTTTCAGAATCAGAAATACTTTATTAATCCCCAGAGGGAAATTGGGTTCGTTACCACAGCTCCAAGTCACCAAAATAAGAATACAAAATAGAATTCTATATAAAAGAAATAAGAATAAAACTTCTAAAATATAAATGAAGTAGTTACTAGTAAATGCATTACTTGTAAATTTACAGCAAAATATTTGAGATGCTCTTTTAAATAAGTAACGCCATTTACTTTATTTCCCATTTCTTGACTGACCGCTCTCCTGTCTGTGTTGAGAGATTTTGGGAGTGAGGAGCAGAGGCGTTTCCTCCAGCCTGAGAATTATTAATTTCACTTTTGGTGTGAAAGGACCTTTACAGTCGTCAAAAATACAACTTTTGAGTTTTTTGTTATAAAAAACAAACAAGCAAGCCCAGCTCAGGTGACAAATAGTAATGCAAAAGTAACAATGCATTACTTTCCATAAAAAGTAACTAATGCAATTAGCTACTTTTTTATGGAGTAATGCAGTATTGTAACGCATTACTTTTAAACATAACTTTCCCCAACACTGGATATATGTATAGTTTCTGTGCGTAACGGCAGGTTGTATAACACTTTACTGAGATCAGTTACCATCATGATAGTGGACTAATGTTTTGCATCTGCCTCTGCTGTGTGTTTAGCGCCGGGGATTGTGGGTAACTGGGAGGAAGTGCAGTCAAATGCGAGGCGGCTGCTGACGAGGTCACACGGCGTGACACACTGCACGGTGCAGCTGCAGACGCACAGACAGGGGGCCCCACAGTCCTGCACACACTGCCTCACACCCAGTGCCTGAACACCGTCTGTCTCTTGCTGTCTCACACACACACACACACACACACCACACACTGACACACACTCACACACACACACACACACACTCACACAGAGGATGAGAGAGAGAGAGACGGGGGACCCAGCAGGGTTTTAATGATTGTCTAGCAGCTTTTTCTAAAATGAATATTGACCTCATTTTGATAAACCTTTAATACTGTCGTGCACAGAGGAGAGGACCAGACCCGTTTGATTTGTGTTTGTTTTGGGAGCCGTCTGTCACTGAGGAGCGCGGACAGATGGAGGGACGCTTGTGTTTGTGCGTCTTGTGTGTTTTGCGTGAATCTCATGAAAACATGTCCGGGTTGCATGACAGTGACAACATTAGAAGAAAAACAAACATGTACTTGTTTTGCTTGAGCTGAATGAAGCCTACTGTTTTTTTTTTGTTTTTTTGTTTTGCAGCTTGACAGTATTTTAATCACAGTTAATTTTCAATAATATAATGCGTTTGGATGTTTTGGGAGCCGTCTGTCACTGAGGAGCGCGGACAGATGGAGGGATGCTTGTGTTTGTGCGTCTTGTGTGTTTTGCGTGAATCTCATGAAAACATGTCCGGGTTGCATAACAGTGACAACATTAGAAGAAAAACAAACATGTACTTGTTTTGCTTGAGCTGAATGAAGCCTACTGTTTTTTTTTGTTTTTTTGTTTTGCAGCTTGACAGTATTTTAATCACAGTTAATTTTCAATAATATAATACGTTTGGATTTACGTCCGAAGGGTTTTGATTCTCATTACTGTAATTTTATTAAAATCTGCATGAATAAAAAGCAGTGCAACACATACATGATGTAGAAATACTTAACAAATTAATATTTCATTTTTCACGTTAAAGTGGGAAGGTGTTTAAGTTTGCATGAAAATGTGCCACCGTGCAAAAGGCAGGCTTTATTTGATATATCTTGTGAAATATGAGATTCACAGTCTGAGATCTGCACTGAAATCAGCCAAACGTGTGTGTCCTCAAAACAATAAATATTGCACATTTACAGAATTCCTCATTTAGTTACTGACAATCATAGTTTGACGGGACAGACTGTAGTTTCGCTCGTGTCTCACTGCAGTTTTGTGCATTCCAGACATTTATAATCATTGTGTGCCAACATTCACAATTCACTCAGAACAAAATGACACGAAATGTCTCTTTTTATCTTTTTATTTGATTTTTTTGTGCTTCAAGATGCAGATTAAATATGAATATTATTTAACTGTCAATGACTGTCATCAGTATTTGGCCGTTATGCCTTTTTATTATTTTTATGGTTTAGTTTTTTTGTTTTATGTTTTTGATTTTGGAAACACAATGTCAGTGGTTTGCATCAGCGTGAAGGTTCGTTCAGTCGTTTGGGTATTTGTTTTATGTGTGTCTGTGTGTCTGAGGGCATCATGATCGATTTACACTGACTGCTGAAGCGCTTGAAATAACTTGAAATAAATACATTTTAAATGCCTATATTCGCCTTTCATTTGTGTTTTGTCTGGGTTCATGTTTCGGCTGGTTAGACTGCATCATTTTGTCTTTGTTTTTCTTTATTGGTGAAATTACAAAGTTTGGGCAAATCTTAGAAATGCACAGATGATGAGGGTCTTATGTGTGTGTGTCCTGTTTGCTGTTGAATGATGTTTTCTTGGGTTGTTTTGTGATTTGATGACATCACCGTGAGGTGTGCTGCCGTCTCTTAGGAACAGACGTGTGAATGCTGCTGTTGCTAGGCGATGATCTGTATGGACAGTGACTTACAGTTTGAGTTTAAGTTCTCCTCTCGAGGACACAAAGAAAGAGCCGGATGAGATTTTACTCTTAGAGTGGGATGAGAATCAGACAGGAAGTGTTCTGAAGATTAAAATTAAAGGAATAGTTCATCAAAACTTTAAAATGTGCTCATTTTTCACTGGAGGAAGAGTTATTATGGATTATGGACTCAATGTATTTTAGTTAAAAACGTCTTAATGCTGGATTAGTTTCAGCTTTTGTCTTCTCCAGATGTTAACTGATGGACTGGGGTGCTGTGGATTACTTGTGGATTATTGTGATGTTTTTATCAGCTGTTTGGACTCTCATTCTGACGGCACCCATTCACTGCAGTGATATAATAGTACATTTCTCCAAATCTGATCCTAATCTCGGATGGCCTAAGGTGCAACTTTTATGTTTTGGATGAAGTACTCGTGACTAATCATTAATGTCACATTTAAAATGTGACTAGATTTTAAAAACTTTTGAAGGGGTGCTACAAAGCTGAAGGCTGATGAAATACAGCAGATACAACTCTTTTTCTTGTCCGTTCATCTTCATGCTACAGTTATGGACGCATGACGGTTAGTCGTTAGCTGTCAGTCTCCAATTGTTTAGTTCTGCTCTTTGTCGAGCACTTCCTGATCACATGATGGGCGACATCAGCACAAAACACTGAGTCACGTACACACACTCACACACACAGGACATGACAGACAAGTCCTTACCAGTAATAAACAGGCTTACACATGTGGCTGGAGAATGTGGGCTGATGGGAATGTTCATGATGCAGTAGATTTCATGAGGGTGTGTTTGTGTTTCTAACACAATGTGGGCTACATTCACAACACACGCACACACACCCACACACTCACTCACGCACACACACACACATA